GAGGGCTATATTCTAGCAGGTTACCGTAGGATTGCTTGCTTGTCCATGTCTCTGGTCCTGTTGGTATCTTGGCAGCTACTGCAGTTGCAAATGCTGCACACAAGGCAGTGTAAGTGAGATCCAGATCAGAACAGCATGGCCTGGGCCTCATGGGACTCGATGAAGGTGACATGTTCATTTGAATGAATAGTCCCCATCTAAGGCTTTGAGTTCATATGTTTTGACTTCTGGTTGTTGCATTTACTTAGTGGAGCTAGCTCGAGAACTCGTCAAAATGGCCAAAATATAGTTCTGTATCTGAACAAATGCTCTGGTGAGAGTAAATTTCGCATGGGAAGAAGCCTGCTTAAAGAGGATCAAAGTAGAAGAGTGCTACCGAGTTCTCGATCCAGCATGTGACACTGCAATGTTATTTATGCTCTAAGTTAATACTATGAGGCTGAACAATGCATTTTAGTGTTGTTCATTCCAAGTGATTCGTAAACCTGAACAAGAGTAACAATCTATCGGTTCCTCGACAATAATATTAAGAGTAAAATGCATCACAAGTCCTAAAACTATCATAGGTGTGTCAGTTTAGTCCTATAACTTTCAAACTGCACTTTTGGGTCCTAAAACTATCGGAAGTATGTCAGTTTAGTTCTATAACTTCGAAACTGCACTTTTCGGTGCTAAAACTATTGGAGGTGTGTCATTTTTAGTCCCATAACTTCAAAATTGCAGTTTTTGGTATCAAAACTATGTATGTTTGTTCATTTGAGGTCCTAATCTTGCATGGCCACCATCCATGGAGCATTTTTTCAACTGAGCCCTTTGTATGTGTTTATATCCCCCAAAGTGGTACATACGCTTCCACGTTGCAGTGTGTCCTGCAACCTGCATGGCCATGAGCTGCACGGTAGCCTTCCTGAGAGGTTTGGCGTGACCGTCGGGGAGACCCCGAGCTAGTCGGCATGAAGGACGACATCCCTCTCCCTCGGCGAGGCCGCCGGGGAGATCCCGAGCCAATTGGGATGGAGTATGCCATCCCACCTCTCTCTCTCTCTCTCTCTGTTTGATGATATCGTCGTTGCCCCGATACCCTTGCCGTAGAGTTGGCCGTGCAGGCTGTTATTTGGGCACGAGCATGGTCATAGGTGGTGAGTTGTTGGGCGACACAGAGGAGTGCGCGGAAACTGCATAGCTGGCGCAGAGGTCGTCGAGAGTGACACAACCCTAGCAGTAGCCATAGGTGGGTAGCAATTGGACTTTGTGCGACATGTCGTTCTGCTGCTGTTGGGGGAGGCTGAGATGACTGGTCTACTCTCCTCGCTGGAGCTCAAACCATCATTCCACTGATGGCCTCTGTACCGTCGCCTCTGAACATTCTGTGCGTGGGAGAAGACGAGCGCGTGAGGACGAGGCGAGACAACGCTCTAGTTTTTTTTTTCATATTTACCTGGTGGGCCCATTGGGTCAGGTCAACGTGGCTACAATTCAAGCATTTTCAAGTGACTCGTTGGTGGGTCAATGCTAACCATGCAAGCTTAGGACCTAAGAGGAAGAAACTTACATAGTTTTGGGACCCACAACTACTATTTCAAAGTTATAGGACTAAACTGACACACCTTTGATAGTTTTAGGACCCAAAAGTGCAGTTTCAAAGTTATAGGACTAAACTGACACACCTCTAATAGTTTTAGGACTTATGATGCATTTTACTCTAATATTAAACTTATTAATAGTCAGTCCAATTCAGTTTTACACCGAATTATACAGCTACAACCATTGCCTTGTTTCAGGTATCAGCGGCAACCAAATTAGGCCAAATTCTGAACTGGGTACAGAGCAGAAGGGTGAACTGGCGCTGGAAATCACACCGGAGAAAGCCTCAAATGGAGAGTGGTGATGCCTGGGGACGCACGCATCCCAATGATGGATCTAATGGATACTTGCAAGGTCTGTGCCTTACAGCATCCAACAAATTCAGCAAGCGTTTGGAAATTTCCTCCGTGTTCGGTCGAGTCACACAGGCACAGCAAGTTCAGCAAGCTCTTTGCCATTTTACCTCTCTTGAGTATTTCAGATCAACTATATATACCTTCCGTTTCCAGCATTACTCATGTTTTGATCTTCTTTTTATCCTTTCGGTCATCCTTCCAGCACCTTTCCAAGGCAGTTGGAATTGTAACAAAATCAGTTCTTGAAGAGCAGCTGACGAGTGTTGGAAGCAGCACGACCTGCACAGGTAGCTTGCACGGCTTCAACAGATACGGTCACAAGGCCACATTCCGGTCCCTGAAGAAGATTCGGGCACCCTTGATGATGCCTACACCCTCTGTTAGTTCTCAGTTCCATTTTATGTTGAACTCCCAATTTCATGTGCCAATTTGCAGTGCTTTGAGGAGGGTGCAAAGGTCTACTCTGATGAATCCTGCACCAACTGGTTCAGCCTTCAAAATCCACTCAAATGATGAGAACCTGGTAATGAGCATTTTACTTGCCCACGTCTTCTCGCTTCTTCCTCTGAACTTCTTGATGTTTTACAGTCGGCGAGCAACGGAAACCTTGGAGGGTATGGTTTATATGAATTCCTCGCAGCATTAGAAATAACAGGATCACAAAGATAACACAATTGGTCCCTACTGCTTGTATGATGTTGTCATGTTGACAGCCTTCAAGAAGATGAAGTGTCGTGTTTGGAAGGAAACAGTCCAATTTCTTGGACAGACAGTCCAAAACTAGATCCCCTGTTGCATGATCTTCAGAACAGGAGGGCTGGACCGGAGCACCAAACAAGGCAAATTAATTGTAACTCGAGCCCAGTAGCAAATTAGCAACATGATAAACACAGCAGGATGGTAACCCGAGTTGGATGGGACCATCCAGCTCTGATGGAGGGAACAAGAAGACTGGTAATCATGGCCCAGCTGGTGGAAGAGTAACAGCATTAAAATCGAACAGATCAACACTGTGGAGTTAGTAATAGTAGGAACTGGAAAGACCAGAAGAACAGCAATACTGGACAAAGAGGGAGTTTTAATTTCACACTGGTGGAACAACAACAGATACATGCACAAGTCGATCCGATCATGAAAGAAGTAAAGAGGACCATCTGTGAATCAAGGTATAGTTTCTAGCCCAATGCAACTTAAAAAATATTTTTCATAAGTGCTGAAAAGTAGCTACAACTCTTCAGGTACTAAGCTGACACATAGGTGGTAAAATAAGCGTTGGGTTTAAGTTTGAATATCATAAAGTTAAGGTAACTGCAATGATTGAAGAATGCACCTGCTCTTGTAGGCACCCTTGCTATTTGTTTGTATTTGTTTGGGGAACCTTTGTTTTTAAACCTTATGTGTTTGGGTCTCTTTCAATACTTTGGAGTGATGGCATTTAGCTTTCTGAAGAGGAAGACATGTTTGTCATCAAAGATATTCTTGAGTACCAACCCAAGAAAGAAAAGACGCTGGCGGGACATGACAACTACATGATGTGAGCAGCTTGCCCGTCTGTTTACGATGAATCATAAGAACCAAGTAGAAATGTCCAGGAAATTATTTCCCTGTTTGCAGGTTGACAAGCATCAGCATTTCCATAGCAGCGGGTGCTTGTTTTCTCCTACAAGAAGTGCCTAGGGAACTTGATCAGGATTCACTACCGACATGATGCAAATTCATTCTGCAGGAAGTAGTTCCAGACTTCCAGTGGTGAACCGTACCATGTTCATTTTAGCTCAAATAGTGCTTGTTTCCAGTAGTGCAACCTCTAAACCTACCTAAAAATGAGCACATACAAGACTTCTGTGGTTTCAGATGTCCACAAACTTATATAATAGCAAAATAAAATCATAGGTGCGCATCGTGCCATGAAATATACACTTGCAAAAGTTCATGCAAAAATATGACCATCAATTAATTGTAGAAAATAAATAAATGTATACATACAGTTGTAGTATAAGGAACACTTGAATTGCAGGCTTTCACGAGCGGTGATCCTGCAGTCCTCGAGTGCTGGTTTAGTTTCCACTTCTGTTCTTCATTTCGGTAATCCAGAGGTACAAAGATGCAATATTGACGACCATATTCTGTATGTCGTAGCTTGGGAGTGGTCATCGCAGACTCTACAGCATCCTTGTCGATGGTTCTGACAGCATCAACAGACGCTAGGACATTGTTGTCCTGGAGGTGCATGCCTCCATGGACAGAGGAAAGTGGAAAATTATGCCTCAGACAGGCCATAGTATTCGAACCACCTGAAAATATGCAACATTATTATCAATGTAGCACAGCACACAATCTGATTGGTGAAGATTGCAAGCAACAAAAATGTATGTACCCACAAATATCAAAAAGACCCAAACACTGGGAGGACACAATTAATAGACTACTTCTTGAATGCTCAAGGTAAAAAAAAGACATTAAACGTTCGAGGATTCCTCGTTGTCTCATGAGCTTGAAATTTTCATATGTTTGAAACAGGAAAAATTGACAGAACTGGTTCTAGGGTTTACATTTCAGCGACATGTTTGCATCCTGCCAAACAAAGCTCATGCATTTCTTTATTGCAAATTTTACGAGGCATGTTCATTCCTGTGCAAATACTATGAACTTAGCTTTTAGGAATTCATTCATTATTTAGGTGTAGAAAACTCATAAAGAGAAAATGGAAACATGGCTTATCAGAACAAGCAAAATGCAAGAATTACCAGAGGACAACAATGGAAAGATCCTATATGCTTGTAGTGATATATACCAGTCCTATATACAGGCATATTTATTTTTCTTAAACGGGTCAGTACAAGCTAGGCGAGAAGGTTAACACATCAAAAGGTAAAAGTACAATTCGATTTGATGGCTAGCGTCACAAAGTAACAAGAACTTACCCTTCACCCTCGCCTTCAGTATCCAAGCTCCCAAGTTATGTACTAATACTTCTGGCTACTGAATATCGCTGAGAAGAATGCAGTTGAGCAATCCATGGTCACAGCATGTGCATAAATCCTAGCATCTCGACACTCCTCACCAAACATCATGCTCGGTGCCACTGTCAACCAGCCCCTCCTCCGCAGCCTTCTTCACCCAAAACTCCTCCATGGCATCAGCTTCAGGATCATCTTCGTCGTCGCCATCCCCCTCGATTCCGCCTCCATCACCCACCTCATTCCAGTCTTCCCCAGCGACACTGTCTTCTTCAAACAGGTCCCCGAAATCACCATCCAACTCTGACGAACCCTCTGCTACATTATCATATTCCTCATCATCCTCGTCACTGTCGCCATCAACCGGAAAAACACCCTTCTTTCGAGCCCGTCTGATCTTCTTGCCCTCCCGGACAAGCTCCTCCAGCCGGTCCCTCCCAACCAGCATCCCGTCCTCCACGAGAAGCCTTCCCTCGTCGTCGAACGCCTCCACCAGGAACGCCGAATGCCGGACGCCCTTGATGCTGACGTAGAAGAGCTCCGGGTGGCGCACCAGCAGCGCGCGCAGCCGGTTGGGCAGCCCGAAGTCCCTCCGGAAGTGCGTGAGGTGGTCCACGAGCGTCCTCTTCTCCACCGTCATCGCCAGCACCTCCCGCACCACCGCGCACGCCCGCCGCTCCGCCATCTCCGCGCTCGCGCCCTCCTCCAGCGGCTCGAACGGGGAAGCCTCGGGCAGGCTGTGGAACCGGATGAGGTAGTCCCGGTGCGCGCGGCGGAGGTTGAGCCCGCGGCGGAGCGGGAGGTGCGGGAACCTCCGCGGCCGGTCGATGAGGCGGTCGGGCCGGACGGCGGGGCGGAGCGGCGGGGGGAGGGGTGAAGGAGGCGGCGGCGGCGGGTCGACCAGCAGGAGCGCGTGGCCGTGGGAGGTGTTTGCGAAGGTGAAGACGTCCGGGTGGCGGGGGCAGAGCGTGGCGCGGAAGTCCATGGCGAGGCCGAGGTCGGGCGCGATGTGCGCGAGCTTGGACACCAGGAGGCTGCGCCGGGGGGTCATGAGGAGGAGGCGGTGCACCTTCTCCGCGAGTCCGGGCGCGAGCTCGGCCCCGCGCAGGGCGGCGAGGTCGGCGGCGAGCGCGTGGGCGGCGGGGGTGAGCGCGACGGCGAGGGTGGAGAGGGAGGGCGAGAGCGGGCGGGAGATGGGCGCCTGGAAGAGGCGGAAGAGCGTGGGGTAGCGGAGGACGAAGGGGACGAGCGGGCGGCGGCGCGGGAGGCCGAGGAAGCGGCGGCAGCGGAGGAGGACGCGGAGCGGGAGGAAGCCGCGCGGCTTGGAGAGGAGCAGGGTGAGGAGCTTGCGGGCGAAGCGGAGCCGGCTCGCGCGCGCCGCCTGCCGGTCCAGCGCCGGGCAGCGGACCAGCTTCGGCGGCGGGATGGGCCTCGCCGGCGCTGCCGGAGCCGGCGCCGCCTTCGCGGCGCACCGGACAGCGAGCGTGAGGGGTTCGGGAGTGGTCGGCGCGGCGGCTGGATGGCGGAGGCGGCGGGGGTGAAGGGGGGAGAGGGGCTGCGCGTGCGCGGGGAGGAAGGAGAGGGAGGAAGGCGCCGCCATGGCGGAGTGGATGAGTGGTAGATTTTTCCTTTTTGCCGCTGAGGATACGCGATGGGATGCGAGAAAAAAAAAGATCTGTCTACTCTGTCTACTTGTTCTACTTCTAACTACAATGTAAATTTTTACAATATTGTTTTTGAGAAAACTTATTCTGAATTACTCCCTCCGTCCCATAATATAAGAAAACGTTCTTATATTATAGGACGGAGGGAGTACTTCAGAGATAGTACATGACAGCTACTCCCTCCGTTCACAAATATAAGATGTTTCGAATAATTTATGTAAACTACACACAGACTAAAATGATTGAGCAAACAACTAAAATCTATGTATATACATCTGAATCGGATAAAAGGTAGAACATCTTATATTTGTGAGCGGATGGAGTAGATACGAATAGATAATAAAACAGATCATGTCTACCAATCCGTTTTCCGCCATTTGCGGCGCCACCGAGTTGCTTACCGGCAACCGTTGGCCGACGCCCAGATCTTCGGAGACACGCTCACACCTATTCACCCCTTCTCCAAACCTGCCGGTCAAGAACCTATCGTTGATGATGTAGGGTGGAACCCTAGAGGGCCGATCTTTCACGAAAGGAGCGGATCCTGCGAAGAACATGAAGAACACAAGGGGAAACAAGAAGGGAAACACGAGAGAATCACTCAAACCAACGAGAACGGTCACACATGTGCTAGATCCTCGAAACACAAAGGGATACACGGTCCAAATCCAACAAAGGACGATACATAGGGTAGCCGGTTCTCCTCCGTAGAGGAGGTCTTGAATCCACAAGGGGATCTTCCCGTGAGGGGTCTTGAATCCAAGGTGGATCTTCTCCGTAGAGGCCGCGGTCTCTCTCGTGGAGTAGATCTGATGTGGATGAGCAATGCTCTATCTCTAAATATGAGCTAAACCAATGCTAACCCTAAAACGTAGGTAGGAGAAGAGTATATATAGTCTAAGGGGCGAAAGGGTACACGGGCCTCGGCCCAAGTCGCTGCGCGCAGGCAGGGCCGAAAGTTCCGGGCGAAGCCGGAAGTTCCAGGCGCCGAAGGTTCCGGGCCAGGTTCCGGGGAGGATCCGGCCTAACCAGAGAGTTGGCACGGGTGGAGCTAGGCTGGTGTACAGGGGCCGGAAGGGCCGGGCTGGCCGGAGGTTCTGGGAGCCGGAAGGTCCGGGCTGGTTCCAGGCTAACCAGAGAGTTGGCACGCCCGGGCTGGTCGAAGACGTCGGAGGCCGGAAGCTCTGGGTCGGCCGAGAGTTCCGGGGGGAAGGTCCGGGCTCTAGTCGGCAGTTCCGGGCTATCCAGAGAGTTGACGCATGTCTCCTCTTCTTCAGCTCCATCTTCCTCTTCAGATTCTCCTTGCTCCTTAGCTTCTTGATGGCTAACTCCTTGATATGTGAGTATGCATAATGTCTCCATTTGAGGTAGTAGCCATGTCTCATGTGTATTGATACGTCTCCAACGTATCTATAATTTTTGATTGCTCCATGCTATATTATCTACCGTTTTGGACATTATTGGGCTTTATTATCCACTTTTATATTATTTTTGGGACTAACCTACTAACCGGAGGCCCAGCCCAGAATTGTTGTTTTTGCCTGTTTTACGGTTTCGAAGAAAAGAAATATCAAACAGAGTCCAAACGGAATGATGAAGGAAATATGCCCTAGAGGCAATAATAAAGTTATTATTTATTTCCTTATATCATGATAAATGTTTATTATTCATGCTAGAATTGTATTAACCGGAAACATAATACATGTGTGAATACATAGACAAACAAATTGTCACTAGTGTGCCTCTACCTGACTAGCTCGTTAATCAAAGATGGTTATGTTTCCTAACCATGAACAATGAGTTGTTATTTGATTAACGGGATCACATCATTAAGTGAATGATCTGATTGACATGACCCATTCCATTAGCTTAGCACCCGATCGTTTAGTATGTTGCTATTGCTTTCTTCATGACTTATACATGTTCCTATGACTATGAGATTATGCAACTCCCGTTTGCCGGAGGAACACTTTGTGTGCTACCAAACGTCACAACGTAACTGGGTGATTATAAAGGAGCTCTATAGGTGTCTCCAAAGGTACATGTTGGGTTGGCGTATTTCGAGATTAGGATTTGTCACTCCGATTGTCGGAGAGGTATCTCTGGGCCCTCTCGGTAATGCACATCACTTAAAGCCTTGCAAGCATTGCAACTAATGAGTTAGTTGCGGGATGATGTATTACAGAACGAGTAAAGAGACTTACCGGTAACGAGATTTAACTAGGTATTGGAATACCGACGATCGAATCTCGGGCAAGTAACATACCGATGACAAAGGGAACAACGTATGTTGTTATGCGGTCTGACCGATAAAGATCTTCGTAGAATATGTAGGAGCCAATATGAGCATCCAGGTTCCGCTATTGGTTATTGACCGGAGACATGTCTCGGTCATGTCTACATTGTTCTCGAACCCGTAGGGTCCGCACGCTTAAGGTTACGATGACAGTTATATTATGAGTTTATGCATTTTGATGTACCGAAGTTTGTTCGGAGTCCCGGATGTGATCACGGACATGACGAGTTTAGGCGAAACACACAAGTTGATCTACGTGATCATATTCTTAGCTGTGTGCGGTGCCCCCTTCCACCATAGTCCTCGATAATATTGTAGCGGAGTTTAGGCGAAGCCCTGCTGCAGTAGTACATCAAGATCATCACCACGCCGTCGTGCTGACGGAACTCTTCCCCGACTCTTTGCTGGATCGGAGTTCGGGGATCGTCATCGAGTTGAACGTGTGCTAAAACTCGGAGGTGCCGTAGTTTCGGTGCTTGATCAGTCAGGCCGTGAAGACGTACGACTACATCAACCAAACGCTTCCGTTGTCGATCTACTAGGTATGTAGATCACACTCTCCCCTCTCGTTGCTATGCATCACCATGATCTTGCGTGTGCGTAGGAAAATTTTGAAATTACTACGTAACCCAACAGTGGCATCCGAGCCTAGGTTATTTATGTTGATGTTGTATGCACGAGTAGAACACAAGTGAGTTGTGGGCGATATAAGTCATACTGCTTACCAGCATGTCATACTTTGGTTCAGCGGTATTGTTGGACGAAGCGGCCCAGACCGACATTACGCGTACGCTTACGCGAGACCGGTTCTCCCGACGTGCTTTGCACATAGGTGGCTTGCGGGTGACAGTTTCTCCAACTTTAGTTGAACCAAGTATGACTACGCCCGGTCCTTGCGAAGGTTAAAACAGCACCAACTTGACAAACTATCGTTGTGGTTTTGATGCGTAGGTAAGATTAGTTCTTGCTTAAGCCCGTAGCAGCCACGTAAAACTTGCAACAACAAAGTAGAGGACGTCTAACTTGTTTTTGCAGGGCATGTTGTGATGTGATATGATCAAGACATGATGCTGATTTTTATTGTATGAGATGATCATGTTTTGTAACCGAGTTATCGGCAACTGGCAGGAGCCATATGGTTGTCGCTTTATTGTATGCAAGCAATCGCGATGTAATGCTTTACTTTATCACTAAGCGGTAGCGATAGTCGTGGAAGCACACTTGGCGAGACGACAACGATGCTACGATGGAGATCATGGTGTCACGCCGGTGACGATGGTGATCACGACGGTGCTTCGGAGATGGAGATCACAAGCGCAAGATGATGATGGCCATATCATATCACTTATATTGATTACATGTGATGTTTATCTTTTATGCATCTTATCTTGCTTTGATTGACGGTAGCATTATAAGATGATCTCTCACTAAATTATCAAGAAGTGTTCTCCCTGAGTATGCACCATTGCGAAAGTTCTTCGTGCTGAGACACCACGTGATGATCGGGTGTGATAGGCTCTACGTTCAAATACAACGGGTGCAAAACAGTTGCACACGCGGAATACTTAGGTTATACTTGACGAGCCAAGCATATACAGATATGGCCTCGGAACACAGAGACCGAAAGGTCGAGCGTGAATCATATAGTAGATATGATCAACATAAGTGATGTTCACCGATGAAACTACTCCATCTCACGTGATGATCGGACATGGTTTAGTTGATTTGGATCACGTAATCACTTAGAGGATTAGAGGGATGTCCATCTAAGTGGGAGTTCTTTAATTAAATTAACTGAACTTAAATTTATCATGAAACTTAGTACCTGATAAGTATCTTGCTTGTTTATGCTTGTTTGTAGATAGATGGCTCGTGCTGTTGTTCTGTTGAATTTTAATGCATTCCTTGAGAAAGCAAAGTTGAAAGATGATGGTAGCAATTACACGGACTGGGTCCGTAACTTGAGGATTATCCTCATTACTGCACAGAAGAATTACGTCCTGGAAGCACCGCTGGGTGCCAGGCCTACTGCTGGAACAACGCCGGATGTTATGAACGTCTGGCAGAGCAAAGCTGATGACTACTCAATAGTTCAGTGTGCCATGCTTTACGGCTTAGAATCGGGACTTCAACGACGTTTTGAACGTCATGGAGCATATGAGATGTTCCAGGAGTTGAAGTTAATATTTCAAGCAAATGCCTGGATTGAGAGATATGAATTCTCCAATAAGTTCTATAGCTGCAAGATGGAGGAGAACAGTTCTGTCAGTGAGCATATACTCAAAATGTCTGGGTATAATAATCACTTGATTCAATTGGGAGTTAATCTTCCAGATGATTGCGTCATTGACAGAATTCTCTAATCACTGCCACCAAGCTACAAGAGCTTCGTGATGAACTATAATATACAAGGGATGAATAAGACTATTCCCGAGCTCTTCGCAATGCTGAAAGCTGCGGAGATAGAAATCAAGAAGGAGCATCAAGTGTTGATGGTCAACAAGACCACTAGTTTCAAGAAAAAGGGCAAAGGGAAGAAGAAGGGGAACTTCAAAAAGAACGGCAAGCAAGTTGCTACTCAAGAGAAGAAACCCAAACCTGGACCTAAGCCTGAAACTGAGTGCTTCTATTGCAAGCAGA